AATGGCTCAATGGCTTTAAACCGTTTACTATGTAAGAGATTCTTGCTCACAAATGAAATTCAGCTCTCAACCTATAGCATCTCTGTGGGTACACTGACACATATTTGGGTGAATGTCATATTTTGCTTTCATTTCAGGCAGAATTTATCATTTTTAAAGTCTGTAGAGGTTGCCCTTGAGAACCTAGTGCGAACAACTCTTAAGGTAAGGGAAGTTCAAATAAATGGGGTGCTTTGTTTTTTTCAAGCTGTCATATAATCTGAATTTATGCCTGGCTTGTTTTTGTATAGATTTGAAGAGGTTGTGGTTCTGGTTGTGCACAACCACCACAACCAGGCGAATTTAAGGCACAAGCTTAGGATTGCAAATACCAACCCTGCTTATCTGTGTGGGCTGTATTGTTTTACTTTACGAAAACTCAAAACGACGAAACGCTTTGCCCGATAGCTTACAGATTTTTATGGAAATAAGTTGAAGTATTCATGGCAATGAACACACTTGATAAAACCTCAATGAGATGAATAAAATAAAGCAGAACTCCCACAACCCTCACAACCAATGCAACCAACGCAAGAGGGAATTTTCCCTGGCAACCTTATAGGAGAAATTCCCCTGGCTCAACACTCCATTGGCTGAACAAACTTATGTGTGCCATTCCTCAAAGGTATTTCTTCTTTTTTTACCACAGGATGGTGGTAAGGCGTTGTCAAAATTGCGAGTCTGTTCTTCCAAAAGTTCCTTCTTCTAACTCTTCTAATTATGTATCATTGAGTTGAAATTAATAGCACTTATAACTTTTCAGATCGCAAACAATTAGCTTATCGTGCTCTCCATTTCTTTCATTCATTCTTTGCTTACCTTTTTTGACACCAAATTCAACTGACAAGATTTAAAGAATGAATGACTTGTTTATAAATGACACCTTTTGCTAGCCTGAATTTCATCCGATTACTTCGAGTCGTTATTACTGCCTCAGTAACGTCTGAATCGACCGGCCGTTAATGCCGTCCAGTGACGTCACTACTCCTTGACCTTTGCTTTAATTCATGCAAAAAGCAAAACACGATTTTCAAGTGGAAAACCGAGAAATATCGTTTGGAAATGTCTGCAAGATACAGAACTGCTTTATTTTTTTCGATTGTAGTTCATGTTTAACGTTCAAACAATCAACTGCATGCGGTACAACTCTGAACCGGTTGTAATAAATTCTATAATCAAACTCGGTCGCAATCACGCAATGAAATAAAACATGATAAAAACACACACGGAACACTTAGTTCAAAAACAAAATGATTTGCTTTAATTGAAAAGAAGCTATTTGGTCCTTAACGAAGAAAAAAACAAGGAGAAAAGAAAGAAAAGCTAACAGAATCATCACACTTGACGGTGAAATAGCAAGAAGGTCGAATTAAAATTCAGAAAACTTCGCGTAAACAAAATCACCGGCCGCCGAAACCACAAAGCGGCTCTGAATGAAAACTCACCTACCGACTCTTCGCGATGATTCTTCATTCGCAGTTCAATTTAACATTTCAGTTTCGAAGACAAGGGCAATTTTGCTGTTTAAGATAAAGATTAAACTCATAGAAATGTTTGAACTAACCGAAAGAATGCCAGGGATGCGATCCGCTGAATATCAAATGACAATCCCGCTAAAATTTTTCATAATTATACATAATTATGCGAATGTTTAGACAATCAACCAATCAAAATCACTACCCGGTTTTCGGGTAGTGAGTGACGTCACTGGACGGCATTAACGGCTGGTCGATTCAGACGTTGTTGAGAGGAGAAAACGACTCGAAGCAATCGGATGAATTTCAGGCTAACCTTTTGCAGCTTAGAGTTGAATTAAAGGTACTTCATTTCTAAAATTTCCTACCAACTTTTCTTGCTCAAAAAGCTGTACATGTTTGCCGGGTTTGCATGAAAGACCAAAGTTTCAATATTTGAAAATGATAAAATGAAACTCAGCGAAGCAAAGTTGACTGGTTTGTGAGCTAGGAACTATGTTACTATTCAAAAGGTTCTAAAATTTGCTTTCGGGCCCAAAAAAGCTGTGGAGCCCTTCGAAAAACAGGCCTCAGGTGAGTTACATAAACAATACATTGTAAAAGGACAGAACAGGTTCACAGTAATTTATCTCAGATACAGGAGAAACGTTTCGTGCTGTGAACATGTGCTCAGTCCTATCACCACGCATGTGCCAGACTATTGCATAAGCTTATCTCATGTAAGATCTCCACCCTGAAAAGGAGCTTAACGGAAATCTAACTTTCCAACGAGAACTAACAGCCAGAAAAAAGAAAAAACGGGAATGATAAAAATAATAATAATGAAAAGCGAGAGTTTATGTGTCTCCATAAGTGTTCCTTTAAGTGTTCCTTTATAAGTGTTTGAACGGCAAAAGGGGCTTGTAAGTCTAGTCTAGATGGCTTCTTTACAATGCAGCCACTCAAGGTTGTCACGGGCAGGTTTTCATTGCTTTGGTTGGAAGGTATCAGTGACTGGGCAGGCACTTGGGTTAGTTCTAATGATGACATCTGAAAAGGTAAGGGCTTTGTCTCATGGCTGTCTGGCAGTGTACTCTCTTGGTTGCTAACAACTTGTCCTCCACAGGTTATTGGTGTTTTCAGTAGAGGCTTCAGCCGTACTCTGTTTCATCTTAGCTCAGACCCACCAGTTGTTTTGACCATATAGGACCTTGGTTTACAAGTCTTTTCCTTCACCTCTGCTGGAATCCATGTCTTTGTTCGGTGGCTGACTACTTGCTGGCCTTGATTTAGTCGTCAAAGTTCATGTGTCGACTGGCGGCCGTACTGGTTTCTCTGGGTGTCCTGTCGATTTTGTAGTTGCTCTCTGTGGCTATCAAAGGCTTGTGAACGTCGAAGGTGGCCGCTGCACGTGAGTTGTGTGAGGTAAGCTCTGTAGTTCAGCAGCTGAGAAGGTGACGGTAAGTTGCTGTCTACAGGTGTGGTCCGGTATGTCAGCAGTGCTAGGTATGGATCTTGGCCCAAGGCTTCTGCTTTTTGCAGGTCCTTGACTGTCTGGACTGACTGCTCTACGAAGCCGTTGCTTTGTGGATACAGTGGTGAGCTCGTCACCTGGTCAATGCCCCACTGCTTGCAAAAGGCTGCAAATTCTTGACTGCTGTCTGGGGGCTATTGTCGGATATTAAGGTTTCTGGTATCCCATTTTCTGCAAATATGGACTCGAGGTTGTTAATGACAGCAGCAGATGTAGTCGAGTTTAGCTTTCTCGCAATGGGGTACTTGTTGTAATAATCTGTTACCAACAGAAATTGGGCGCCTTGGTAGTCGAACAAATTAATCATTGGCACATTTTTGCCAAGGAAAACTGGGTACACTGTGAGGGTGCAAGGGTTCCTTTGGCTGGTGTTTAGAGAACTGCATGCAAGTGGGGCAGTTGGGAGTCATTTCATTCATATCGTTTGGGATACCAGGCCAAGAGAGAGTCTTTAGCTTTCAAGTTACACTTCTCTACCCCAAGTAGCCTTGGTGAATAATCTGAAGTATCTGAGTACGCAGGTTGCTTAGAATCAAAAGATGATGTCCCTTTAAGATGGGGCCATTTTCAACACTCAAATCATCTCTGAAATTCCAAAGTTCTTTCAGGAACGGCTTGGAAACTAAAATTTCGAGGACGTTTTTGGACTTTTTACATTTAGGGCATGAATTTTTCGTCATTTCAGGCCATGGAACCTAAAAATGAGCCTAGCTAGCTGTAAAAAGGGGCAATACGGAGGCAATACGTCCTAGCCGGCATGATCACATGCTGTTTACGGAAAATTCTCTCATCCATGTCAGGAAATTCTGTATTTTAAAGCCTCCCCTAGGGCATGACTCAGCAATTGAGGACATTTCTGCTATGTTTTCATTGTTGGTTAGCATGCAAGGATTTTTCGCATGCCTATCGTCAATGATTTGCTCACTGGTAATAGAGGGGGTGGCCCCAGAGTGGTTTTGCATTGAAATTGGCATGCAACAGAATTTCGCATGCCCTGTAAGCATAATTTGAGGTTCTGTGACCTTCTCACCCAGGCCGCGAGAAGCCTAGGTTCTAGTAATAAGTAATTCATACCCAGCAAAATCTCCGGCATGCCGGGCATGCCAAATTTTCTGACATGCCCGGCATGCTAAATTCTCTGGAATGCCGGGCGTGCCATAATCTGGGTCATGCCGGGCATGCCAAAATTGGTCTCTGGCATGCTCTCAACGCACAGGTTATAATTCCTTGAATCTACCGATATTTTAAGCCTGGCTAAAAACAAAAAAAAAACTAAACAGATCACAGTGCTTATCTTTTGATGTACGGTTACACAATGACGTCATTGCTATTCCTTTCATTTTCATAGATTTGGTTGTCCCAGAGAACTTTAAATAACAAAAGTTGGTAGTAATAAAACAGCGTCATCGTGGAGATGACCTGTTGGGGGATTGTAAAAACTCCTCACCCCTTTTAATGAGTCTTTAATAGGATTCCCATTTCACAGTGCGAATAAAATGGAATTGACTGAAATCAGTAAAATTAGAGACAGAGACTATTTTCATTGTATAATAAAATGCATCTATGTTCCATGAAAGCTTTTAAAAATACAAGGTTATAGAATATCTTTCAAAGTTCATTACAAACTGAGCTAAGCCCCAAAATCACTGTTCATTATTCAGTAAATTATGATGTTTGACAATGCAATGTGCTTGAATATAACGTTGCAATTAAAAATCTCTCTAACGCAATTTTCCCTACGTTAGAAAAGCTGTTAGAAAGTCTGAGTTCCTCTTTCTTGTTTTGTAGGCTTGCCAGGGATTAATGTTTTTGTGTCATTACCAGTGTCTGTGTTCTTTGTTTTTAACTGAAAGTAAGTCAGTAATAACTGACAGTATCAAAGAATTGCTCTCTAGAAAAGTAATTATCTCCTCGTCATGTCTGGAAGTTACCTGTAACAAAAAAGAAATGGAACGTTAACACATGCAAGGGCA